TGACCCCCAAGGTAACGTGACCCCCCCCTGGTTAGTTTAACCCCCCCCCCCCCCCCCAGTGCCCTTCCCTCCTCCTCCTCAAGAGCTGCGCTCTAATTCGGCTTTACAGGGAGTTGTAAGCGGCTTTCATTTTTGTCAGATTGATATGCTCCTCTTAATTTCAACCAATGATCTGGGGAACTCAGCGCTGGTCCTGCATATGCTAACATCTTCACTTTGAATGTTTCAATAAAGATTTGTTCTCTCTCTCATCCTGTTCCATCGTCTCACTGACCTAGACTTCTTAAATGATCCGTCACTCGGGAGGGTCATGCTGCACTCTTGAGTTGTAGAAATGTAGCCTGGAAGGTACGGTATATGGGACGCGGCCCGCCGTACTCCTACTCCTCGCTAACTCTAGGCATGTTCATACAGCCGTTGTAGGTTTGTGTTTCAACGAAGGCTGTCACGAAGGTGAATAAGCGCTATTAGGGAGCGTTGACTTTTTTGGTACCACCGCATGTGGAAAAAAACGGATAATCCGAACCACTTCGCTCGTAGTGCCCGAGAGGGCGCTACGAGCGAAGTGGCTTGAATTATCTTTTTATGAAAAACGCGTTTCGTTCCAACGCCTAGCTCGACCGGCACACTGGTCAAGGTCATAGAAACGATAGAATGCCGGACTATATTTTTCATACAACCTAGACGTCGTACGTCACGTACATAAAGTCACCGCGACCTCACTTGTCTTCACAACACCATGCGACATCAGAACGACGCCTTGACGTCAACGTCGTCGTCGACGTAGCCAACGTGCGTTACCCGACATCAAGACTGCGTTCTAACGTCATATTCCGTTGATAACGACGACGATGTCAACGTTGACGTCGATGACGACGACGACAACGTCACGGGACGTCAAGATGACGGCGTCCCTGTCAATCCAACGTCACAAGGACGTTTGGTGCCAGTTCGTTGACGTCGCTGTCGACATGACGCCACTCGACGTCCCGGCAGCTTCGCGACGTCGACGTCATCGTCGACGACGTTAAACGACGTCAAGACTTCGTCGTGACTGCGCGTCGACGTTGATCTGGCGAAGGCGACGACGTTAACGCCGTCAAGGCTTCGTCATGACGTTGACGGTCACGGTGACGTCAGAACGACGTTAACGTGACGCCATAGCGATGTTTGACGTTGCGTGGGGCGTCGACGTCAACGTCGGCATTGACGACCACGTCCACATCGTCCTCGATGTGGCGCGAGACGTCATGACCACGTTACAAGGGCGACTTGATGTCGCGTAACGGCGTCTTCCTCAAAGCGACGTCACGACCGCGTTACAACGGCGACTTGATGTCGCCAAACGGCGTCGTCCTCGACACGACGCGATGTCACGACGGCCTTACGACACCAACTTGGAGTCGCGTAACGTCGTCGGCGATGACGTCGTAACGTCGTCGTGTCGTGGTGCTTTGACGTTACCTCTGACGTCAAAATCATAAAAAATACCACATAGCTCCTAAGGGGCTACATTGCCCGTATGATCTTGACCTGTGTCGTTGCTCGATCGCAGCGAAGGTGGCGCTGCGATCGAAGTGGCTTGTTTCCACCTGATCGCTTTCCATATTTTGAGGTACAACTGAAAGCATGAACGGAGCCTGTAGCTCGTCCCCCTCGTTCCTTCTAGTACACTCCACCCAAACTAGGCGTCTGAAGCGCGACAGGCGCCGCCATCTTGGGTTCACGCTCTGGATGGATGAGTGACTGTAGCTGAGCCAAGCCGAATTGTAGCCGTCGCCTGCGCCAGCTGCCGCAGCCGCAGCTGTGGCAGCGAATCAAGGTCGTGTTGCTCGTTCCTCGGCGTAACACGGAAAACGCGCGTGCTGACTCCTGAGCGACGGACTTCAGCGTGTGCGTGCAGTAAACAGCAAACAGCTGCAGGCAGAGGATCGCTAGACCCAAGGTGGTGGCGCTGAAGAAACGCGATGATTGCGACTCACGTGACTGCCGCTGTCCCATGATGCCGCAGCGAACCAGAATATTGTTGAATAGAGCGACTGTTTTGTCGGCAAAGTGCAAAAGAAAAGGAATGCGGTACTCTGAAAGCGTAGCTTATTTAGTGACTCTAGACCTTCAGCAGGAGAGGGAGAGCAGTGCCTCTGCTGTGCAGTGGGGGTTTTGCGATTGTACATGAGCATTTTTAACCGGGTCACAACCACTGCAAAAAAAAAAAAAAAAAAAAAAATGAGCTTTTGGAATAAAGGAATGATTCCTCCGGAAAAACGTCATCGACCGCGGCGGGAGGGAGACTACAGGTGTGAAGTGGTAATTAGCAAATTAATTCCTTTAATTTCACTAATTTTATCTTTTTATATATTTAATTTAGCTAGCACATTTCAGTTTAAGGGACGTTCTCGGATGTCGAAATGTATTAAAGGTGTTAGAATTCAAATAATTAACTTGTACTCCGGGATAGGCTCTTGCCAATTTAACCCGCGAGGAGACTGGGGTACCGAAACTCGATGCAAAAGAGCGGCGAAAGTCCCTCCCGGAAGCGAAGTCAACCTCCCCGCTGGCGTGGATGGCGAGGCATCACCAGGCAATCTGACAGCATCACGTTATTTAAGGGTCACGTGGTCATGAAAAAAAAAGGACGCGCCACACTCGTTATCGCACTTGTTCGTTTGGAAACAACTGTTCGAAGCGGACGACACGAAGATTCTTCCTTCGTCATGCCATTCTTGGCGGGACGCGAAGGCTGCCCTCTTCGCGCGGCACGGCCGACGGGAAGTACCGACGGGAAATCGTCGCGCCAAGAGGGCAGAGAAAAGAGTTTGTCACTTCTTTCTTGCGCGTGGCGACGACAGCCCACCAGATCGACATCTCTGCTAAGTGTCGCCCGTAAAGCTTATCGCTTTAAAACAAAAAAGAAAGCAGATTTTCACTTTTCCGCGAGTGTTTTGGTTCTCTTTTGCCACGAGCTGGTGCTAACACCCTGCTCTCTTGCTAATTCTCTCTTTGCACTTTTTGCGTGACGTTCACCGTGGCCGATAATGTTATCAAAAAGGAATAACTTCTTTATATGAAGTGCCATCAAAAATTATTCTCAATCTTTGATGAAACATCACACACCGTACATGTTTACGAGTCTTCGCGCCTCACCGTCCCTGGACTCGGCGAAACGTAGAATACGAGCGTTTGCTTCCTCCATTTTTTGCTTATTAGGTTTTCGTGCGCTGTTTTAACGTCGGGATTTCTCGGGTGTCGCGACGCGAGTTTGTCGTAAACAGTGGAAAGGGGGCCAGCTGCCCATCACCTGAACCGTGATAAAACTGCACCTCTTCAGGATGTGCAAATGTGCCAGTTGATATATAAATACTACGTAAAGCGCCAAAAAAAAAAAAAAGACAAAACAACAAACACAAGGAGTAGGAATGAACGCATTCGTGTGTCCCCTCCTACTTTTAGAGCGCAGCTCTTAGGCGCCCGTTTCCGGCTTCAGCGGCGTCGCCGTCGCCGTCAGCGTAACCAAGGTCACCCCAAGGTCACGTGACCCCTCCCAAGGTCACCCAAGGTCACGTGACCCCCCAAGGTCACGTGACCCCCTAGGTCATTTGCCCCCCCCCCCCCCCCCCCCCCGAGGTCACGTGACCCCCCTCCCCCCTGAAGTCACGTGATCCCCTCCCCCCAGGTCAGGTGACCCCCCGGAGCATATTAAAGAATGAGGGGAGGAGGAGGAGAAGGAGGAGGAGGAGGAAAGGTCTACCCTCCCCTCAGTACCCTTCCCCCCTCCTCCTCAGAGCTGCGCTCCAATTCGGCGCTACAGGGTAAACGGCTTTCACTTTTTTCTCCTTGTTCTTTTTTGCGCTTTTACGTAGTAATGGTATACGCCTTCGTTGGCGTCGCATGTCAACACGTTATAACTTATGAGTAGGGTTACTGTTTGTTATCCGGGGTTATGTTTTATCAAACTGTTGAACGTTTTTTTTTCAGGCTTTTGTTTTACCCCGCAGATTTAATGTTTTGTGGTATCAAATTTGGGTGTCGGACGAAATATCGGGGTTTATTAAGCTTATATCGAAGACAATAGGACACGCTGGCATGGGATACATCAACCTCCAGGAAACATACGTGTGAGCGTAACCCAAATAACATCTCCCGTACTGACCAAAAAAAGAAACGAGATAAGATGTGTGGTTTTGAAGCAAGAAGTAGCGTCCCGGACAATTCATTCAGGACTGTGTTCCACGTTCACGCAAAAAAGAGCTGCAGAAACAATTTTATTTCCGTAAAGCGTTTTTTTTTAAAATTATTTAAGGACAGCTTTAGTTCGGTGAATTTCGGTTTTCCTCGATTTGATAAAGCTGGCTTTGGGGGTTAATTTTAGGGGGCCTAGTTATGAGTCGCCTTCTTACCCGTCGCCTCAGTCTTTGCATCGTCCTCGTACCTTGTGCGTGTGTTTCGCGGCAGAAAAACGAGAAGCGGTTGTTGTAGAATCAGATTGGACAAACTGAATAACTGTTTATTAAAGGTACACACTGAAAGTTACATTGCTATAAAGACAGTTTCGAGCAGAAGACGCGTTAACCGCGTCTTTCCTTTAGGAGGACCCAACACAAAGAGACCGAGCCACACCCCGGCAACCCAGAAATTCCCCCGTTTCTCTCTCTCCTGGTCATAAAACACTACGCCGACCACGTAGACTAAACACTCTCCGAAAACTCCCCGTCTTTGGGTCGGGTTTCCAAACTCCGTGCCCCCTCGCCGCGGCTCAAGTGATTTGTGGTATACGAGCCAGTAGACCGAGGTGGCGCGTGACAAACTCTATCCGCAACATCCTCCCCGCAGATGACCTCAGCTCATCTCAAGTGGGTATAGACGCTGAACAGGGCGCCTGACCTCTGAGCCGTTACACAATTTTATCTTACAAGCTCGCACATTTCCGTCCCGACCTGGGAAACACTCCAGAATCCTGCCGGTTCTCCAAAACAATCGAGGAACGTGGTCGTCATGCACAATTACGACATCACCAACATTGAGACCGCTGCTGGATTGAGGCCTACGAGCATGCGCACTTCGTAGGTTATACAGATATTCTTTAGCCCACCTGTTCCAAAACATATTCATCAATCGCTGGCGGTGTGACCATCTCCCAACCAACTCCGTTCGAGTGGATGTCACGTCTCCTCTTTTATGATGAGGTAATGTGGTTAGCCTCCTACCACAAAGGAAGTGAGCAGGAGTTAAGACATTTGGTTCGTTTGGTTCGGAGTAGACATACGTCATTGGTCGAGAGTTGATCACAGCCTCAACTTCCGTTAGTACAGTTGTGATCTGATCGACATCAAGCGCAGCTTTGCCGATGTTTCTTTTCAGACAACTCTTAACCGATCCCACCATACGCTCCCAAAAACCACCCCACCATGGAGCTCTTTCAACAATAAACCTCCAAGTGATCCGGTGGGTGGTGCAGTAGTCTTTCAATTCGGAACTACATAACACATCGTACATCTGCTTTAGATCTTTAGCAGCTCGTTTGAAAGTCAGTGCATTATCTGAACACATCATTCGCGGCAACCCACGCCTTGACACAAACCGTCTGAAAGCCATTAGAAAGGCGTTGGTAGACATATCCAGGACAAGTTCTAAATGTATCGCTCGCGTAACAGCACATGTGAATACAAGAATATATGCCTTGACACTGTTTGTTCCGGATTTCACGAACATCGGTCCAGCAAAGTCCACGCCACAGACCTCGAACGGTTCTGCCTTTGTCACGCGGTCTTCAGGCAGAGGGGCCATCGGGGCGGTCATGGGCTTGAACTTGAGTCGAAGACACATCTTACAGCGTCCGATCACTCGTTTTACGCACTGTCGCCCTCTCACAACCCAGTAGTGCTCCCGCAGTTCACACAGAGTAGCACTCACACCACCATGCAAAATGCGAACATGCGTGTGCTCAACGAGGAGCTCCGTGAAACGGTTGTCTCCCGGAAGTAGCACCGGAAACTTCGTCTCGTCGGGTGCCGAGACATTCTGCAGTCGAGTCTCAATGCGGATCACACCGTCTTCATCCAAGAAAGGGTGCAGGTCCCGGACACGCGAGCTCGACCGCAGGCGGTCACTGGCGACGAGGCTTGCTTTTTCTTCGCTGTAGCTCTCTCCCTGAACATGTTTCGTCCAGTATCTCTCTGCCTCCTCCAATTCATTGGTGGACAGAGATCCGCTGACTCTTGAACCCATGCCTTGCAAGTTTTTAATGAATCGCATGATCCACGCCGTCACCCTCATTGCCTTGAGCCATTTGCTGTAGTCTGTAAGTACGAGGAGAGGCCCTTGTACGGTTGTTTTGCTGAGCAGCACTGTGCTTTTGCCTCTTAGCTCTGCGTCAGCATCCGGAACCTCGTCGTTCGTCTCTCTTCTTTGAGGCCAGAAATCTGGATCACGTGACAACCACTGCGGGCCCTGCCACCACACCTTGGAAAGGGTCAGGTTGGAGGCGGGTACTCCTCGGGTGAGCATGTCCGCGGGGTTGTCCTTTCCTGAACAGTGTCGCCACCGAAGGGGGTCGGTGTTGCTTTGGATCTCCACGACCCTGTTGCACACAAATGGCTTCCATTTGCTTGCCGATGCCTGAATCCAACTGAGGGTGATGGTAGAATCTGTCCAAAGGTGGCATTCCAGGTCAGGCAAATCCAATGTCTCAATCAAGAAAGCCATCAATCTTGATCCGATAAGAGCGCCGAGGAGCTCCAGACGTGGCAAAGTCATTTTCTTCAAAGGTGCAACACGTGCCTTGGACATCACAAGCCGTACGCTGCTGTTTCCGTTAGTGTCCTCGACTCGCATGTAGGCCACAGCTCCGTACGCCTGAGTGCTTGCGTCCGTGAAAACATGGAGTTGTCTGGACTTAACTGCTCCCTCTGTCACCAAGAAGCATCTGTCGACCGAAAGAGAGCCAAGTTCAACAAGCTCGCCGCACCATGCAAGCCATTCCTCACGCAAATCATTTGGCAATGAGGTGTCCCAGTCGATTCCTTTCTCCCAAATATGCTGAAACAAAATTTTGGCTCGGATGCTGTATGGAGAGAGCAGTCCCAAAGGGTCGAAGAGCCTCGAAGTGGTCTGAAGAACGAACCTCTTCGTATCCATTCTTTCTTCGACGAAGTCTGACAGTGACTGTAAGTTCACCTGAAGATTGTCCTGTTCGGTGTCCCAAAGAATTCCCAGTACCTTTGTCAGACCTGACGATTCAGCACAAGTAGACGTTTCGTCCGCTGTCTTTTCAATGTGACACTTGAGTTCCCTTGAGCTCGTCGACCACTTTTGAAGCCTCATTCCCGCCTTGGCAAGTATTTCCGTGGAGTCATCGTAGAGTTTCTGCGCCTCTTCGTATGATGAGACACCCACAATCAGGTCGTCAACATAAAAACACCTTTCAAGGTGCATCGCCGTTGGCTTGGCTTCTCCCTCGACCGAACGCAGGTGATGCTGCAGTGTCGCTGTCAAGAGAAAAGGGCTTGCAGTTGACCCGAAAGGAACTCTTGTCATTCGAAACTCTTGAATGGGAGGCAATTCTTCTCCAGGAACGGGAGGGCTGTCAAACCACAAAAAACGAAGAGCATCCCTGTCCTCAGGTCTGACGCTGATTTGAAGAAAAGCCTTCTGAATGTCAGCTGTTAGTGCTATCCTGTGACAACGGAAGTTCACGAGGATCTTCAGCATGTCGTTGTTTAGATTAGGCCCTTTCTCCAGATGGTCGTTCAGCGAGAGCTCTCCTGTAGTGTGCGAAGACGCATCGAAAACCACTCGCAACTTTGTTGTGGCTGAAGCTTCTCGGATTACAGCTCTGTGTGGCATGTAGTACACATTTTCCTTTTCGTTGGTTTCTTCCGTCACTTTCTCTGCGTGTCCGTCGTTTAGGTATTGCCTAATAGCAGAGTCGTACTTCAGAAGAAGTTCTTCGTCTCGAGCCAAGCGATGGCAGAGCCCTTGCAGTCTCTTCTCTGCCACCTTTCTGTTATTGCCGAGATCTCCTAGGTTCTGAGACTTCCAGGGAAGAGCAACTTGGTATCTTCCATCTGTCATTGTGATGGTTTCCTCAAAACCCCGTAATACAGACTCGTAGTGAGCAGAGTTGGTCGTTGAGTCCTTGATGCCGAGGCTTTCAAGTTCCCAGAACTGCCGCAGGGTCGAGCTTACTTCATCGTCGCCCGTTGCACCGGCTCTGAGCACGCACACGTTGCTGCTTGTTTGCTTTCGTCTTGAGTTCTTCGAGGTCACGGGACCCTGAAATGTCCATCCCATTGTTGTTTTCACGGCTGATAGACACCTGTTGTTTTCATCCCAGCATACTTCATGCTCCAACAGCTTTCCAAGCTGATCTGCTCCAACTAGAAGGCTGATTCCGCACTCTCTCTGAACGCCTGGGAAGACCAGCACATCCGCTAGATACTTTTTTTCTTTCGCGATTTTCTGCACGAAGTCATTGTCCATCGGTATCCGATCGATGTCTTTGCAAATGACCGGTACCTCAATCGCCTCGATCCTGTGCTTCTGATTGTCGTACTGACTTTGAAGTTCGATTTCGACCAATCTTCGCTCGTGCCTTTCGCTGTCCCGGACACTTCCGAATGCGTTAACGCTCAGATTCACTTTGCCAATCACCTTCAGTTTAAGCTTTCTTGACACATCTTCTCTGATGAAGGTTCTCTGACTGCCGCTATCAATGACGCCTCTAATGTAACAGCATTCATTTTTTGTCATGAGCCAGCCGCGGAACGTCTGCAAAAGCACATCGTCGTTGTCATCACAACTTCCTTTGGTTTTTGAAGCTGTGTGAATACTCGTGCTATTCAATTCGTCTCTTCCGACCTCAGGCGTCTTTTTTGCATACCGCGGGTCGCACATCGTTGTGGCATGCCTGCCCTTACAGGTTTCGCATGTTATCTTGCGGCGGCAAGTTCTCGCGCGGTGTCCTCGTGTCGTGCATTTAAAACACCTGCCATCTTTAGACAAGCGCGTCATCTTTTCTCTGAGGCTCAGTTGATGTTTGCATTCTTCGGTTTTGTGCCCACTAGAATTACAGAAAAAGCAGTCATTTGAGACCAGCTTGCTGTGGAGAGCCATGGAGGTTGGAAGGACCTTTCCTTTTGGAGCTGAGCTTCGTTCTTTGTTTTTCTGAGCGAACACATCATGCCCGCTACGCTCTCTGCTTTCAACTTCGACCGACAGGAACTCCAAAATCTTCTTAAGCGTCCCCTCTGATGTCTCAGCTCCCACTGGGCCGTTATAGCTTCTGTGTCGATGGTAAGCTACAACTAGGTCACTGGGCATCGCCTTCAAGAGAACTTCTCACATCATCGACGAGTAGGACGCCGAATGTACACCCAGTGAGGTCAACCCCCGAATGTGAGTCTGAACATGATCATGTAGCTTTCGCAATCCAACGACATCGTCTGGGGACCTCACCTGGTGCACCGTTCTAAGCTTGTTCAGATGCTCCTGCTCGATTTGGGTCTTATCTCCAAACCTCTTCTGTAGCAGCTCTATCCCCTCGACGTAACCTTCCTCAGTTGCTACAAGTCCAGACAGGGCAGAGGCGGCCGTTCCGGTAAGTTGAGATCGCAAATAATGAAATTTCTCAACATTCGACAAGCTGCGATTATCGTGCACCGTCGCTCTGAATTGATCCCAAAATCCTTGCCATTTGCTGAGTTCTCCGTTGAAGGTGATCATTTGCAGCTTAGGCAATCTGGTACCGCTTCCGGTGGCTCTATCCCGATGCAGCGAGTCGTTTGTGCGCGACGTCATGGGGCCGTTCTTCAATCGGTCGATCTTAAGTTCCAACTGCGCCAGTGAGGCGATCGCCGTGTCCTCGTACTCCATCACGGCGTCGCACTCAACACTGAGCTCCTCGGCAGGCACTAAAGGCTCTAGTTCTTCATTTAGCTTCACGAGCTCGGTGTTGCTCAGTTTCAATCTTTGGTAAAGCACGCTAAGAGCCTCAACGTCTGGTTGAGGCGATGCCAAAGATGCTCTTACCTCGTTGACCAAACGAGTGTTCTGGGCTCTCCTCGATGCTCGTCGTACTTTTAGGCGATCCATGGTCTTGTTAATCCAATGGTCTCGTTAACACAACTTTCTTTATCTTCCCGGGTTTCGGCACCAAATTATGTTGTAGAATCAGATTGGACAAACTGAATAACTGTTTATTAAAGGTACACACTGAAAGTTACATTGCTATAAAGACAGTTTCGAGCAGAAGACGCGTTAACCGCGTCTTTCCTTTAGGAGGACCCAACACAAAGAGACCGAGCCACACCCCGGCAACCCAGAAATTCCCCCGTTTCTCTCTCTCCTGGTCATAAAACACTACGCCGACCACGTAGACTAAACACTCTCCGAAAACTCCCCCCTTTGGGTCGGGTTTCCAAACTCCGTGCCCCCTCGCCGCGGCTCAAGTGATTTGTGGTATACGAGCCAGTAGACCGAGGTGGCGCGTGACAAACTCTATCCGCAACAGCGGTCGAAGAGGAGCACGTGGCAACGCATTGAGAATACGCATGTACGCGGCGACGCGTACCAGGACGACCGAGACTGGACGTCAGTGTTCGCTGCGTTCCCCATAAAACGCCATTCTGCATACGACGGTTTGATCCATATGTCAAAGTACAGCCGCAATTTTACAGCGATAGCAGTTAGTGGGACACTTCGCGCCATCGACCGCGCTCCATATCGACGCGAGACATTTTCGGCACTCCGCCCAAAGGTTCCGCATTGACGTCACGTCGCTGACGTCGCGACGCTCGACACGACTCTCAGGTTACACCGGGCGTCCCGTCACCTGCTACTTGGCGTCAGCTGGCACCACGACGTGAAGTTGTCAAGTCACGTCGCACAGTGACACCACGCGACTTAATGACGTCAGGCGACACCGTGAGTCACGTGATGTCATCACGTCACATGATGCCGTGACGTCGCGTGACAATACGTCGTCACGTGAAACCATGACGGCATGTAGAAACCTAACGTGAGACTGCTGATAATGGAAACAATAAAAACAAAGAGTTTTCGCTAATTATACCGGAACGTTTTACGGGCGATAAAACCAATAAAGCTAGGTGAACGCAATCCATAAAGAAGGGGAACAAGGGGGACAAAGGACAAAGAGAAATTTCCGAACTCAGCTAGGAGATTCCTCTTTGTCCTTTGGCCCACTTGTTCCCCTTCTCCAGAGATTATTATTTCATTCTTGTCCAGCTCGCTTGCACCTTTGCATTAGTTGCATTATATTCAGAAGCTAGGTGTGTGCTAAGCCGGCGAAAGCACGGGCGTAAAATTAGGTGAAGCTACACGCTTGAAACGTAGGTGCGCGATTTTGAAATTGTTCCTTAGTGACCTCAAGGCGGTGTTTAGTTTGTGTCCAATAAAATTGCATAAGACGTTCAGGCAGCCACACCAACGACAAGGACGGTTCATGCATACATATGCGGTTTTGTCGATCCCTGAATTTCAAACTTGGACGCGCGATTTTCGAAGTGTTCTTTAATTACTACTAGACACGCCTAATTTGTGCCCGATAAAATTCCTGAACAAGTTCACGAAGTGTTCCCTACTTAATGCGCGCCCTCAATGGCGGCAGAACGCCACGGAATTTTCTTCTGGTGTGCTACTCCGTGTAATACAAAACGCCAATACAGATATTGTGCGCGCTCGACTGTTCATTCAGTCCATCTACTTCGAAATGCCACTTTAGCGGCATCGACGTCATGCCTCACCTATCACAATGTTTCACCTTAAGGGTTGCGTAGCTGCCCGACCTTTTTAATGCGCATTCTTACTGAAGCTAACTCTGACTTAGCTTTGAGAAATGAAGCGTGTCACGGTCGAAGAGAGTTGGTTGGATACTAATCACTTCCACCCTGAACTCGGCCAATCACACAACACAAATAAATAAAAAAATAATAAAGAAGAGGAAAGAGTCTGGAGGAAGGATTTTGAGACGGCTTCGAGAAGAATTCGCCAGCGGCAAAATTTTCGAAAACGACAAGAAAAAAAAAAAATTGTACAAAAGGATGACATGGCGACGCTAGGCACGATCGATGACGCCGCATCGACGGTTTGATCGACAGATAAAAATATGACTGCATTTTTTTTTACATGTCGGTATGGGTTCTTGTGTGCAATTTGTAGTTGGTGGTGTTATTTGCTGCAGTTGCTGGTTCTTTCTTTTGTCAATTGCCTCGACGTGCTTCTGCCATTATCTCGTGGCGAAATGGCCTCAGTTCGCAGTACTCGATATCCGTTTTACGAAGTTCGAGATTGCCTCTATTTGCGAAGAATCGGTCGTACGAGAGATCTCCGAAACATATAGATGTCGTTTCCGTACGAGAACTTCCCCCGAATCGAATGTTGCCTTTTCGAAAATGCCGACTCTGCTCAACGTCAAGTTCCCTCGCTGGCTTTGTGCAACAGCGCATGCAAGATGAAGATACGCAAGAAGTCAATCTCGAAATTTGTTTGTTGCAGCTATTTGTATAATTGCTTTTCGAAGGATTTGATTTTTTTAAACTTCAGCGGCCGTTAGGACTGGTGAGGACGCCCTACAATTTGAAAATTTATGTTTCATACAAACTATATTTACGCCATTTTTAAATGAATTGGGCTGCGCAGTATCACCGAGACTTCGATCAGGCGTGTTTTAATTGCACTAGGACAAGCACTGTGACCGAGAAAATGATGTTATCTATACGCGGTTTTATTTGAATTTAGACAGTGGGGTTCATGCGACCTTCTATTTTTCTTCAAAGCTCTATATGTTGTGGCGTATACCTCACGAAAGGAAACTCTAATTATCTGAAAATTTTGAGATTTTTAGATGAAAATAAATATTTTAAAGACCGCGGAAGGATGGCTGGTTTTGGACGATCGTAGTCTGGGACACCTTTGAATCGCCCAATCAAGCAACTTATCTTGATACTTATTTTTTTTTAGGATAATAGATTTGTAATATAATTAATTACTCAGTGTTTCAAATTATATTTAATAAGTGTAACCTATAATTCTGTAAGAATTCCCAAACATGCATCTACGGACAATTAGGAACACCACTTCTAATTCTTTATTTTAGACCGCAGCTCTTAAGCGCCCGTTTCCGGCTTGAGTAGCGTCGCCGTCGCCGTCGGCGTAACCCCGCGGTGCATTATTGGTAAATTTCCCCGCTAAATTTAGCATTAAATTTCCTCGCTAAATTTAGCATTAAAATTGCTCCGCTAAATCTAGCGGAAAAATTTCCCCACTAAACCTAGCGGAAAAATTTTCCCGCTAAGTCTAGCGAACAAATTTCCCGGCTAGATTTAGCGGAAAAGTTTCCCCGCTAAATCTAACGGAAAAGTTTCTCCACTAGATTTAGCAGAAAAATTTCCCCGATAAATCTAGCATAAAAATTTCCCCGCTAAATCTAACGGCAAAATTTCTCTGGGGAGCAAGGTGACCTGGGGGTCACGTGTTTTTCGCAGGTCACGTGACACCCCTCCCCGAGCTCACGTGACCCCCTCGGTACCCTTCCCTACTCTTCCTCAAGAGCTGCGCTCTAATTCGGCGTTACAGGGAGTTGTAAACGGCTTCCACTTTTTTAATAGAGCTTTCGGGGTATCGGCTTTGAATTTGCGTACAACCCGTGTCATTGCCTTTAAAGAGGGGTCATTCCTTGCCAAAGGAAACACGACAATTTTTCGTGTCTGGGATATGTCCTAAAAATAATTTTAATAAAGGGCCTGCTCCAAAAAAAATTACATTTTTGTAAAAAAATTCATTTTTTTATATCATGTTTTAAATTTCTGGAATTTGCATAAAGCTCATGTAGTTTAGAAAAACATTAAAAAACGGAGGCGTACTACACATATTTAGGCAGGCGCCTAATCACTTAATATTGTGCCTTATTTTACACCAAAATACAGACGTTGAAAGAAGCCATTTTAGGTCCAAATAGGAGCTCAATTCAAAAAGAAAATACTTTGTGAAATGTTTTCCCTTTCACATCCTGAAATTCGGTGTTCGCTACAATACTTTTTTTCATTTGTCCTCATATATTTGATAATTTAATTGCATGCATTGAATTTTTAAAGTGTCGTTTGGTTGCGTTTTAATTAAATTACAAAATCTTCAATTTATGCAGGAACGGCCCTATTGAGATCCAGAAAACGCAATGTGGGCAACGGTGCCCGAAACTTTAGAAATTGTCAAAAGCTTAATCCACCTCATTTGTTTAACAAATAAAAATGGATACGGATGCATGGAAGTCAGGATAATATCCACTTCAACTGAATAAAACACGTTTCCAGGAGATTGTTGAAGAGCTTGCGGCTGCGTCTCACACCGTTGACGCCTCACTGGCGAACGCCGGCGTGCGTCGCCTAAGAGGCAGGCGCCTGGAGTCATGCACTTTTAGAAAAAAGGGTATGGATAGTCCTCCCTTAGGGCAGGAATGGTCTTGTAGCTTATGTTCCTTTAGAAAGGGAGAAACGTTCGTCCCTGAAGCAAGAGAGCAAAGTTCCTCCGTCGCTTGCATCTCAATTGAGGAGTTTCAGCGAATACAGGGGGCGCTCCGATCGATCCAACATGGCGGACAAGAGGGGGATATATTTGCGACGCCCCTAGACCGGTAGCGTATAAATAAAGCAAAGCGTGTCGTTCTCTGTTTGTTGCCGTGTACGAGACGATCATTATTTAAACCAAGACCTTCCGTGATGCTACAAATGAAGTGTTCAAGCCAGTCGAGGGCAATAAATCTTGCCATAGTCAAGATATATGTGCAAGTGTTCGACGTGAGCCCTCACGCTGGTGCAGCTGTCATCAAGTTCAACCGAATGTACGCGGGTCCAAAGAAAGGTAAGTACATATCAACAATTTTCGCGCGTTGACTATGACGCGTACTTTAATTAAAACTAAACTTATCGGTCTGCGGCTACAAACATTTTCGTTGACGTTGCTTAGATGATGTAACCATTCAGGCCTCTCATCAAAAAGTGTTGCGAACTCTTCGGTTGTTCTAGTTAATTGTGCTAAAAAGCGGTTAGATGGAAAGTATGACAAGTACAGCACAC